AATTTGTGGATGTCAAGAGGACTGACCACTCCTTGACCGTCCTTGGACTGTTATGGCAGTTGTTTGCCAAATTCTCCCAAAGGGATTGGGAGTTGTTTTCCCATGATTTTTTTGTTTTGTGCTTGGACCTATGTAGAGTCCAGTTGGTGGATCAAAACAGTCCTCTGACTTGGGAGTCGTGAAGGAGATGCACATGGCTTCTCATGACCTGCACAGCTTCTGAGAGGCCTTCCTTGGCCAGGAGGGGTTCTTCCAGGCCAGTTTGACTGGAACTTGAAGGAAAGCCTTCAGGTCAACAATTGTGTACCTTCTGGTCAACAAGGATGTACCTTGTTGATTGGAAGGAAACCCTTCCAATCAACAAGGTAAATAACCTTGCTGATCAGAAGGGTTTCCTTCCAATTGATGAGGTACAGTGGGTAGACAGTGAAAAGTGACTGCTTATATTGGATTCCAGAGCTACAAAATACAGACTTGAAGTTATGAGACTTGGTCAGGTGGTGCATAATAGGTCCCATAAAAATGAATATGAAAAAATAAAAACAAAAAATAAAGTTTCAAAATTTGTGAAAAATAAAAAATAAAACTGATTTTTTTCAAAAGCTTTGATATTCATTTTGGGGCAGTGGGAGTGCTGAGAGAAAGGAAGATTGGCATATCAGAAGAATGATTATAAATGAAAATTTTGGGAAAATTGGTTTCCAGATGGCTTCAAACAGCTGTTGAGTGGGGCATTCACCAGCCCACATTGCAGTAAAGCACTAGAGTTTACTGTTTTGGCTCCAATCTGGACAACCAACCTGGCCAAACCATTTTTGGTTCCAATTTTTTTCGTTTATAATCATTCTTCTCATTTTCCAATCTTTCTTTCTCTCAGCACTCCCACTCCCCCAAAATGAATATCAAAGCTTTTGGAAAAAACAGTTTTATTTTTTATTTTTCACAAATTTTGAAACTTTACTTTTTGTTTTTATTTTTTCATATTCATTTTCTGGGAACTATTATGCACCACCTGAACAAGTCTCATAACTTCAAGTCTGTGTTTTGTAGCTCTGGAATCCAATATAAGCATCCACTTTTCACTGTCTACCCACTGTACCTTCTGTTCAACAAGGATGTACAGTGGGTGGACCATTATTTTTGGCTGCTTGTTTTGGGTTCTACAGCTTCAAAGCACAAACTTCGAGTCACAAGACTTGGTGAATTGGTGCAGAATAGGTCACAAAGAATGAATATGAAAAAATTAAAACAAAAAACAAAGTTTCAAAATTTGTGAAAAATAAAAAATAAAAACGTTTTTTTCCAAAAGCTTTGTTATTGATTTTGGGGGAGTGGAAGTCCTGAGAGAAATAAAGAGTGGAACATGACAAGAATGATTGTAAATGAAAAAAATTGGAACCAAAAAAGGTTGAGCCAGGCTGGTTGTTCAGATTGGAGTCAAAACAGTAAATTCTAGTGCTTTTACCCAACATGTGCTGGTGAATGTGCTACTCAACAGTTGTTTGAAACCACCTGGTGACCAGTTTCGACAAAATTTTCATTTATAATCATTCTTCCCATGTTCTATTCTTTCTTTCTTCCAGCCCTCCCACTCCCCCAAAATGAATATCAAAGCTTTTGGGAAAAAAAAAAAATATTTTTTATTTTTCACAGATTTTGAAACTTTGTTTTTTGTTTTTATTTTTTCATATTCATTCTTTGGGACCTATTCTGCACCACTTCACCAATTCCTGTGACTTCAAGTTTGTGCTTTGAAGCTCTGGAATCCAAAACAAGCAGCCAAAAATAACGGTCCACCCACTGTACCTTGTTGATTGTAAGGAAACCCTTCTGATCAACAAGGTAAATAACTTTGCTGATTGGAAGGGTTTCCTATCAATCAATGAGGTAAATGTACCTCATTGACCAGAAGGACCGCCTGTTTTTTTGCCCAAAAACAGCCACCCAGCACCACCTGGCAGGTGTGGGGCGGGTTTGAGGCGGGTGCAAGCAGTACCCACCAAGTGGCGCTAGGTACCTAGTGGCAGGTACTGACAAACAATCTCTACTGTGAAACAACCCCCTCCCCTCCTTTAGGAAAAGTGGGAAAACAACCCCCACAATGGGACCAGGACAGGCAAGAGGTACTGGTCCTCTCAATATCCACAAAATTGGGGAGCTGTTTTCCCAAATGTTTGTGAGTCATTTTTCCACAACTGTTTATCTCTCTTTTGAAACTTTTTTTTTGAACTTTTCAGTAGATTTAATCTTGGGGTTTTTATTTTCTGAAAAGCAAATCAAGAATTTCTTACATCTATATGATCAATGCTGGGCCACTACGCTTTTTGCCCAAAAAGTGTTGGCGTAGCGGCCCTTTTTTGTGCCCAAATCCTGTAGTGGTAGTGCTTTTTAGCAGATTTTTGCTTTGCTATGCTGCACTACGGGTTGCTCACAGTGCTACAGGGCCAAATTTTTGCTAACCAGCACATTAGTGCAGCATAGTGTGCCTTTTTTGGGGGCCTACACATGCAGTGTTAGCGCAGATGTGGCGGAATTCTGCTACACTACGCTAAATCTCAGTGGAATTTCAGCTACAATTAGTGCAGCGGCCCATCATTGATATTATGGTGTTCAAAAAAATAGATACTTAAAGTTTTATTCAACAACATAATCTGCATGATATCTTCCTACTAAAAACTCCATAAAGCATTTTGGACACAATATATGGTGTTCAAAACTCTTTACAAATTTTTTGTACAAAGTAGTGTTGGCCCCTGTGAACCTGGGTACCCATTTGTATCTGGGTATCCAGTGTTTGTTTTTTTCTGAGTCAGATCAGACATTGGCACCCCCTTGGGCAGGTACCTGGTGATACCTGGCTTTCCTTCCGCTGGACGAGGTACGTGTACCTCGTCCAGAGGAAGGGTTTCCTTCAGCTGGACTGTACACCGCTCTCCGGGAGGGGTTCCTCCCGGCGGTGTGACCTCGGCCTCTCTAGGCCGAGGGGGAAAAAAAAGAAAGAAAAAAAAACAGGAAAAATGGGGCCGTCCCATAGGACCCATGCCTGGGTCCTATGGGACGGCCCAGGTCCTAAACGCATATAAATATGCGTTTAGGACCTAAATTTGGGCGTGCACGCAGGCACGCCAACCTGCAGGGTATACCCCTGCAGGCGGATGGCTTGCCTGCCTGCACGCCATTCTGCAATGGCGTGCAGGCGCGCACGCCAATCTGCAGCTGGTGTGCAGATTGGCGTGCGTGTGGGGGGTTGGCTTGCGGTTATCAACCCCCTTGACCAAAGGCCAACCCTGCTTGGGGCTCAATGCTGAGGCATCAAGACTTGTTGCTAAACAAGCTTGCCATACTTCTTGCTCTTCTCGCCTTTCGGTCCCAAGGAGCCTGCCCTCCTTGGACAGACAAGGATGAGGGTACCTGGGTACCTGACCATACTCTGGAGAATAAGGGACACTCACACCCCAACACAGACACACCAGCAGATATCTGCTGATGGATACCGAGTACAGGCCAGCTCTAGTACAAAGATATGAAGCAATGACCATGATTTTCAGAGGTGAAATTGGGCTGATATTATGAAACCATGTAGGCATGTCCTGAGACAAACCCTCACTTCCACATATTCCATGACCATATGCAGAAGATTCAGAGTGAATGATGATTGGATGCAATCATATTTTTGACTGAAACCCCACTTGTATTGTGGGTTTCACAAGGTCTCATATATCAGATTACATAGGCTTTAACTCATACTTAGTCCAACTCTTCTCCCTTTACCTAGACAGCAGATTTCTCCTTCTCTCCTGTCTAGGTAAGTAAAATTCATTCTCACTTTGTACCTTTCTCATCAGACTATATTGTACATACCAATAGAGAGTTCTTCTCTCCTGCATAATTCTTGAGATAAAACCCCTGATCTTCCTTGGTTCTAGAAATTTAGGCCAATCTTAGGCTCCTTGACAG